CTTGCATTGTTCTCTTCTTTTCCATTTTATCCTCAGAACAACCCTGTGAAGTAGGTTAGGCTGAGAGTGTGTGTGACTGGCCCAAGGTCACCCAGCAAGCTTCCATGACAGAGTGGGTATTCGAACCTGCATCTTCAGCACTCTAACCACTGTACCATACTGGCACTAAGTGTGACACCAGGGCATGTGGAACAACACGCAGGTGACTGCCTTTACATGAATTCAGGGTCCTGTCTAAATATCAATCAAGGAAGTGCAGTTTATGCATAAAAGTGTCATGCATTCCCAGACCCGTGGCTCTACACCAGGGGTCCCCAGCGAGGTTCCCATGGGTGGCATGGCACCCACCAGCACCTTTCCTGGTGTCCATCAAGTGTTCTTAGAAAGTGGGTGGGGCCAGGTGAAGCTTCTGATTGGTCACTGAAGGTTTGAGTGCCTGTGCAGATTTTTAAAAACATTGCTTTGGCAGCCGCCGCCATCACAGCACAACTGTCTTCACTGTGTGACTGAAAGGTAATCTGCGGCAGCCATTTTGTGTAGGGATCCCAAATCCCCGCCCCAGAGGCCCGTTCCCTGGCACCACCAGATCGGGCCCCGGGGGGAACTCCACCCCGACGTGCATGTCACCCAGAAGTGATGCGACCACGCCGGGCACACTGGGGGCGGGGCCACGGCCATCTAAGGGAAAACTCTATGGTTTTCCCTTGCATGGCCGTGCCTCCGCCCCCAGCGTGCCTGGCGTCCTCCCGTCACTTCCGGGTGACGTGCGCGCACCAGACGCCAGCTGGGAGCCCCCCGCTCCCGGCGAAGATCAACTTGGCGACCGTAATTTTGTGGCTAGTTCACCTTCTGCAGCAGCCGTTGTGTGGCTGCCATTTTGTGGCTGCACCCATCATTCCATTTCAGAACAAGGTGCCTGCAGGCTCAAAAAAAGGTTGGGGATCCCTGCTCTACACCATTAAATCCACTGGTTCAAAGGCCTCCTCTGGGATCAAAAGGCCTACTCTGGCTGCAAACAAACATAAGGGTGACTGTTTTCATTCTAATGCCCTATAACGTCTTAAGCAGTATCTTCTACACAAGCGTTGGTTTTTTTAAAATGGTACCAAAATTACTTGTGCTTTTGACATACATATCTACTATATGAAACCATGTAACTATTTTAACTAACGTCATTCAGTGCCTGTTGAGTCAGTGAAGTGATCTGAGATGCGTTCTGAGGAATAAAATAATCACATGTTGTCTACAAGCATGTTTTTCTGCACATGTTAAGGTTTGCCACCAACCAGGTGGCAAACCAGGTGGCAAAAAACAGGCTTGGCCGCCATTTTCCTTTTAGCCACGTTTTCCCTCTCAACCAGTGGGTTGCTGTTATTTAGCCGTATGCCTCGCCCTAAACTGGATAGCCCAGGTCAACCCGATCTTGTCAGATCTCAGAAGCTAAGCAGGGTTGGCCCTGGCTAGTATTTGGACGGGAGACCACCAAGGAAGTTCCGGGTCACAGGGCAGGCAATGGCAAGCTACCTCTGAACCCCTCTTGCCTTGAAAACCCTGCGGGGTTGTCATAAGTCAGCTGGGACTTGGTGGCACTTTCCTCCATCAACAGCTGTATGCCTTAAGTGCAGAGTTGCTAGCTCCAGGTTGGGAAATTCCTGGGGATTTTGGGGGTGGAGCCTGAGGAGGGCAGAGTTTGAGGAGGAGAGGGGCTTCAGTGAGGTACAATGCCATAGAGCGTTGCCAAGTGTCACTTACCTCTTCTGCGGAGGATTCCCGGGTGGCTCCCGGAGCGCGCGCGCCGCATACACGTCACCAGGAAGTGACGTTATGACGCCGGGCACGCTGGGGGCGGGGCCACGACCATACAAGGGAAAACCATAGAGTTTTCCATTGTATGGCCGTGGCCCCACCCCCAGCGTGCCCAGCATGTCCGTGTCACTTCCTGGTGACGCGCACGTCGGGGAGGAGTTCCCCCCATGGCCCTATCCGGCGGCACGGGGGAACGGGCCTCTGGGGCGGGGGTTTCCCTGCCCCCTGGGGGGACTTGGGATCCCTAATGCCATAGGGTCCACCTTCCAAAGCAGCCATTTCCCCCAGGCCTATCAACATCCAATGGGCTTTTCCTCAGACTGCAGTGGGCTTTTCCTCAGATGCCTGAGATCTTTCAAGCATGCACAAACCATCCTTCTCCCTATACAGTTCCCATGCTAACTGGGTGGTGCAGAAGTTAGCATTTTCTTGGAGGGGGGAAAAAAGTCATGGTTCAAGTTCTGGGAAAATCCAATGCCTCTGCAGCAGAAGCAGTACCTTCCAGAAAGATGGCTGGATTCCCAGGAACACATTGTCCAGGGCATAGTCTGAAGGGCACATGGTGCAGCGACCTTGCAGAAGCTAAGCGAGGTTCTGCTCCGCGCCTGCATAGGAGACGTTCTGCAAATCCTTATGTACACCGCTGAGTTTCAGGATGGAAGAAAAACAGGACACTAATGTAATAAACAAGTGCTTTTGCTGTATTGTTAACTGAAAGTAGGGAAATGCCTAGGAGGTGGAGCATTCTGGGCACACCTTGGGGAGGGCTTGGAGATTTGTTTGCTAGAGAAGCTCAAGGTCCTCGAGACTCGAACACCATACCTGGGACAGATATGTGGTGAAGAAGCGGGCACTAGGGTTGCCAATCCCCCGCTGTATGTACAGCGGGGGAATTCAGTGCTGTTCCGGGAGTGCGCACGTGCGCGCACCGCAACCCCATCACCCGGAAGTGACGCAACCATGTTGGGCACGCCGGGGGTGGGGCCACAATCATCCGAGGGAAAACCATACAGTTTTCCCTTGGATGACCGCGGCCCCGCGCCCGACGTGACTTCCGGTGATGTGCTGATGCCGGGCACGTCGCGTGCTTTGGGGGTGGGGTTTCCCCCAGGGCCCGATCCGCCAGTAGCAGGTAACAGGCCTCTCGGGCGGGGGTTTCCCCACCCCCCGGGGGAACTTAGCAAGCCTAGCAGGCACATACCTCTATGCTCAGCTTCACATCTATAGCAATATGTGATGCAAGTGCTCCACATGGACTTCTGCATTGAGGAAGGCCATATTTTCACAATCCCCTCCCCTTCCTGAGAATCATGTGAACTGGCCATCGCATATAAAGGCCTACACATGGAACCTTTTGCATGACATATAACTTGGCTTGGGAAATACAATTTACCACATGGACAACCTTTCGCCTGTGGTAATTGTTCTATGTGTAATTGTGCTGAGGCTAAGAAGTCCTTTCAAAATACTGCCAAAACAAACCTTTTTTATTAATACGTTTTGCAACTGCCAAAGCAAAGGAGCGATCTACTGTATCCAATGTCCATGTGGTAAATTGTATTTGGGTCAAACATCTAGACCTGTAAAAGTCAGAATAGGTGAACACTGAAGCTGCATTAGATTGCATAAGCGTTCTGTATCATTAGTGAACCATTTTCTGGACTTGGGACATACGGATAAACAGCTAAAACTTTGGATTATTGAGACCAGGGGTCCTCAAACTTTTTAAACAGGGGGCCAGTTCACTGTCCCTCAGACTGTTGGAGGGCCGGACTATAGTTTAAAAAAACCCTATGAACAAATTCCTATGCACACTGCACATATCTGCAGTGTGGCGCCCCTGAGGGCCAGCGCGCCCTAGGCGAGCCGGCCCTGCTGGCGGGCCGGATAAATGTTTTCGGCGGGCCGCATGTGGCCCACGGGCCGTAGTTTGAGGACCCCTGATTGAGACTGTACAGACTACCAATTTGAACATGTGCAGAGTGCTCCTGAGAAGAGAGTTGTTTTGGATTCACCAACTGCAGACGTGGGCTCCTTTGGGATTGAATGAAGAAGTGGACTGGACTTGCTGTTTGTGAACATATATAATTGTTTTCTGTCAATTCTTTGGGCTGACCTGTTTCCCCCTGCCCCCATGCGGCTCCTTATCTCCCTCTCCTCTGTACTCGCTCCCATCTTGTATCTCTCCTGGCTGACACTGTGCGATGTAAGTAGGTGATTGCATCACCCCAGGTTTACGATATATGGAAGCCATTGCAGCAGCTTGTAACAGAATCTTTATCTTGATGGAGGGACACACATTCAGACCTATGAAATCTCTGGTACCAGGTTTGTTGACCAATTTCATTATTTTAATTTGGGCTTAATTTATTATACAATTGGATGCATTAAAATTTTTTATAATTTCATTTCATTTCTTATTAATTCGGAATAATTGGTGGAATTGATATGCCTATACTTATGGCCCATCACTGATACCAATAATACAATTACAAATATATAAGGTCTTTGAAAGAATCATTTTTCAATCAATAATGATTTTATATACATTTGGATGTAATAATTGTTTCCCCCCCCCCCCCCTATTTTTAGTTTTTGTTTTATAATCTCAGGAAACAACATCTGGTTTTAATATATGAGTACTTAAGATCTTGCATACAGGTCTATGAATGTGTGTCTATACTATATTGATAATTGTGACCACTGAGGAAGGCCCTTAGGGGCCGAAACACGTTTGGTCTTCAGTAGGAAAGTGTTTACCCATCATATGTATTAGTATTTGATAAGTTTTTATGTCTGATACTTAGATAAAGATTTTTATCAGTATATGTTTTAACATGTGTACACCCTAATAAATATTTGTACTTTTATAATATACATTGTTAGCTTAGCCCTTTGGTTCGCAGTTTCATCTTGGGTTGAGTTTCTTCCCCCACCCCCTTTTCCCCAGTTTTTGCCAGGTCACCATGACACCTGGAAATTTCATTGTGGCACCTAGGTGTGTGCGTGCGTGTGCGTGCGCGTGCATGTGTGGTAACAATTAGAAAATATGGTCTAACATAACCCTGAAGTCTGAAATAACTGAGATTTTGAAGGGCTCGCTGTTAGAGCCAAAGAAAATTCGTTGAGGCCTGTGGTACACCATCTCTTAGGAGGCAAGCTGAGATCTGAATTTCTTCTTCCTCTCCTCACAGGGTACGTCCAGGCCTGTCGAGCACTGATGATTGCAGCCTCAGTTTTGGGACTCCCTGCCGTGTTTTTGCTGGTGACCGTCCTGCCTTGTATCCGAATGGGCAATGAACCCGGAGTGGCCAAATATCGACGGTCCCAGCTGGGCGGAATCCTTCTGATCCTCTTGGGTAAGATGCACATGATCTTAGCTCACCTGTCTATTGCCAATGGTCAAAGACTGGGTTTTATTTAAAGGTACATTCAGGGGTCATTTTGTAGAAAAAGAGGTGCAGGAGCTCATTAGCATAACTTATTTGCATATGCCACACCCCCTGACATCACTGGAAGTGTGTCAGAAGGCAACACCCACCGCTCAGGCTCCACTGTTTTGGATTACTAGCTATTGGGACGCGGATGCACAGATCTGCCCTCGCATATGAGGGAGAACTTGTACCTGAAGGGGGGCTGGGGGGGGGCTCTGCAACTTACCTGGCTGCTTCTTGCTCTGACTGAGGGCTGCTGGGAGCAGGGGGTGGGGCTTGTTGCATGTGCCCGCCCCCTGAGCTCTTTACTGCCGGAGCTCCGCTCCTGTGTGCTCCTGCAGGAAATGACCCCTGGGTACATTAGTCCAAATAATAGGTTAAAATTGGGAATAGTTCCTTGAGCAATTTGCCATGGCAGAAACCTGCTCCTTACAATTCTACTATTACTCAGGATAGTAATAGCAGGAAAGGAGGACAGTCTAAAGGTAACTTCTCACATGGTCATTTTCTAACATAGTGGAAATTCCTGTGTAAGGGACAAAATCATATACAAAAAAGGGACAAAAACATATACATTGTGTGTAAACTTCTACATATCCCTGAGACTGATATCTGTGTAGGAGAATGCATACCTGGTGAAAGATTTCCTTTGCAAACTTTTTCAAAGCCAGAACAGAATTTTGTCCTACATATCCATTTTTCCAAGTGTCTGTTCAAAATTTCTTGCAAGCACAAAGATCAAAAGCATTATACCTGGTGAAAAGACAGAGATATAAATTTGAATGAGTACATATTATCTGTGTAATAATAAATAGCTTAGCCTTTTATATGGAGCTTTCCATGACAACAGAAAGCTATACAATGACTCTGTAGGGTAGGCTAATACTGTGAGAATAATGGTTTGCCTAAGAACACATTTTGAGTTCAAGGCAGATTGGAGACCTGAACTGGGGAATTTCCGATTCCAAGTTCTGTCTCTTACTGTTTTTATTCTATCGAAGCTTGCTGGATGACCTTGGGTCAGTCACATACACTCTTGTATTCTCTCTCTCTCTCTGCCTAACCAACCTCACAGGGTAGGTGTTGAGAGGATTAAACAATCTTGTATGCCACTTTGGGGCCCCATTCATGGAGAAAAGTGGGGTATAAATAAATTATCTTGTAAGCGGCATTAAACAAATACAGATTTAAAAGGTGACAAATGCATTTGAGAACAAATACGTGCAGTGCATGTACTTTCCCCAGCATGGAAGGGGAAAAGCACATGCCAGGAAATCGCCATGGATAAAGCAGCCCTACATTTGCATAAATATGAATAATTGGTTTAGCTGACATTTTGCTTTGCCTGAAAGAGAACTCTGGAGATGCTGCCCATTTCAGAACCTGCAGACTGAAAGGGCAGCTTGCATTGATTTCATTCAGAATCTTTGCCTTTCTGGAAACTGACTGGTAGGAAGGGTGGCATGCTGCTTGCTTAGGCAAGAAAAGTAAAGGCCGTCTGGTGGGAAATAATTAAAAAATAGTGATTCCAAGCTCAAAGGAAGCTTTCCTTGCTGTGCATGTATGATTAATTAACCAAGATTTGCAAGCATTGCTTGCATTAAGGATTACTTGTATCCCATCTCTAGGCCACTGTTTCCCAGGCAGCTACCCCCAAGCAAAATATACTAGACATTCCAATGCAACAAATAGTCAAAGTAGTGATAGATCAAGATGGGTAGCTGTGTTAGTCTGTCTGTAGCAGCAGAAAAGAGCAAGAGTCCAGTTGCACCTTAAAGACTAACAAAATTTGTGGCAGGGTAGGAGCTTTTGGGAGTCACTGCTCACTGGAGCAGTGACTCACAAAAAGATCAGTGACTCCCAGAAGATCATACCTTGACACAATATTTTTAGTCTTTAAGGTACGACTGGACACTTGCTCTTTTCTACAAATAATCAAAATATCTGTAATAATGATCAGTAACCAAACAGGAGCCCCCCCCCCCCAGCTCTTGTTTCCTACCACGGCTTAGCTGGACAGCAGGGGGGAACACGCAGGTAAAATGTGGGCACAGATTTGGCATTCCCTTCCCGCATGACCCAGAAGTGCCATCATCATGCCATGAGTGTGATGATGTCACAGTCCCTTTAAATGTGAAAGCCAGAACTTCCTTTGGAGTTCAATTGTGCTTCTTCCCTCCCCTCTCCCAGAGGCTCCTGGAAAGTCCCTCACCAGCTTGTCAGTCTCACTTGGCAACCCTAAATGGTACCAGTGTGTGTGGCTTGGTTGGAGAGCAACCAGTGTGTTAGAAGCACAAGCTCCTACAATGGAATCACAGGGACCTTCTGGATGTGTGTGGGTGGGTGGGGGTTGGACCTGGAAGTGAAATCACACTGTGACATCACATCCTTGCTCCTGGCTCCACCCACAAAGTCCCCATATATTTCCTGAGCCGGACCTGAGAACCCTACCCAATGGAAATACCCCTGCTTCCTGACTCCTGCTGGTTCTCAGGCCATGCCTATTTACTGCTTAGAGCATTGGTGGCTCCTTCCAGTGAGCAAAGCACAAAGTCACCCACATTGGGCCAAAAGTCTAAAGGCAGAGACGTGTCCCCACGTGCCCTCCATGGCTCCACTCTGTGAGGCATGCTTCACTTATATCGGTCTGAGCTGCTCTCACATTGGTGTATTTTTCTTTCTTCCCAGCGAGGTGGAAGACACAGCCAGTATCGCCCCGATAACAATGAGCTTTACAGTCTCAGCCAGCACCTGCATATTCTTGAGGCCTCCTCATCTCGTAACAACAGGCCTTGGTGTCTTGTTTTCACCAGTTTGTTTAGCTGAGGGGGAGGCGGAGGACGGCTGGGCAGAGACTGGCCTCTTTGTGTTGCCCTGCCCTGCGGTCGGCCTTCTCCCTCGGCGGCCAGCGCTGACATCATGCCTCATTATAGTGGATGCCATGCACGCTTGCCCACTTGCCAGAGGCTACCAGAGACGTGTCCAGCCGCAGCAGGGACTTCACGTTGTCTGCAATTCAGGAAATTCAGGCAATAAAGCCACAGATGGTTTGTGCTGATCTGATAAAAATGGGGATGTTTAAAAAGCATTGTATAGTGCAGTCGTGGGATGCTTCCCACATGGTGTGGATCCTCTGCTTCCCTGTCAGTGCTGCCACGAACTGAGAGGCATTTGCATAGGCAACAGAGCATGCATTTTAAAAAAAAAGTCCCCCCCACCAGCCCTCCAGTGGTATGGTGGGGAAAAGGTAGCTGTAGGGGGATGACAGACTCTACCCCCAAATCTCCAGGAATTTCTCAATCTGGAGTTGGCAGCGCTACAAAATTCCTCCCTCCCACTCTACTCTTGGCTTGTACAAATGTTACCTTCCCTTGCATTTCAGAGCTCATCAACATTATGTCATCACAAGCATCTTGGCTAACCATGTTGAGGCGCTCCAAACCCTAGTTTGTATGCATGGTCTGAAGCATGCTTGCCAACTTCGGATTGGCTGTAATGATGGTTAGGAAGAACACCAGTGCAGACGCAATGCTGAAACTATGGCTGGCTTTGAAAATTTAGAGGAAGGTGGAACTTTCGTGACAGAGGAGGGAAAAAGAGTGCTAAAGAAAGTTCTAGACGATCTGAGGTAAAACGGTTAAAACAACTGATAAAATCCCAACAAAATTCTCAGCAGTAAAGTAACTGGTAAAATCAGCAGTAAAAAAAAAAGTGGGTAAAAATGATCTAAAGACCTAGGTAAAAAGAAATATCTTCCCCTCATTCCTAAAAGTTAACAAGAACTCATTTAACTAATAGTTAATAATTCCACAAGGTCTTCCACTTCTACATCAGGGAAGGCTTCTTGCATTTGATAAAATCCCTGTGATGAGCTAAATGGTAAATCGGATCCAACCCCAAACTCTTGTATTGTATCCAATTCCTGGCAGTTCCTGGCAACTAGCAGGAGTGTTGTGGGGGCCAGGGTCTTGGGAGAAAATTATTAAAAATTAAAAATAAAAACAGGGCACTGTCTATTTAAATGAGATTCCTACCACAGAGCTCTTGGCAATTCCTAGAACTACCTGGAAATAACAAATGATAGCTCTAGGAATCACTGGGAACTCTACAGGAAAACTGGGGCCTTGGCAGCCCTCAGGCAAAAATTGCCCTCTCCCCCTTCTTCCATCAGTACGGCCCTACAGATGGAACAGGCAGGAAGGACCACATTGTCTTCTTTCCCAGAGATGATGACTGCCAGGGTCTCAATGTTGTGAGGGACAAGTAGGGCTTCACAGGCTTCCCTCCCAGGGCATTTTCACTACTAGAAACAGCCCGGGGGGGGGGCCTGCTTGTTCCTTCCTTGGGCTCTATTGAGAGCTGTGCAGAGCAGCTGAGAGGCTTTTAAAGAATAGTACCTCCCATGAACATGTGGCTGAGAGTCAGATTAGACAGTCGTGACCTGATTTATGTCAGACGCAATGTGTATTTCAGCCCTAAGTCTAGCTCTAGAACTAGTTAAGGTCATGTGCTTTTAGGGCAAGTCCTCAAACTACCAGTTCCTTAACACTGTTAAATATAAGAGAATGTCTCTAAAATATAAGAGAATGTCTCTAAATTTTACAATCTATCAACTACAGCACCTGCCTATGACCTTCAGTTCTTCAACTCCATGGTCCTCAGACACCCAATGACTTCAAACAACTCTGTTCTTTCTTTCCCCCCCCTGTGAAGCCTTTCATGAGCACGTGCACACACACCTTCCCTACTGGAATTAAACCTAAATATGTGCAGTGGGAATGAATGCACAGGGTATCGGAAAGTTTGTTTGTATGTGGAGGTGGACTTTGAGAGAGAAGCAGGAAGGGGCCAAACAAGAACTAAAAGTGGCAGAGTGACTTGCCCTACCATTTCTGAATGATTCACAACACTTCTCTTGTTTGCAT